AGAACTTCCGTCAGTCTGCTAACTCCCTTTCCTCCCTGTTTGATCGTGCAGACCGCGTGTTCCCCTCTTTGGGCTCTGTGAGATGTAAGGAGCTGTTCTTAAAGAACATTTCTCTTGCCTCCTTTGACAGCTAGGTCTCAGACATCATGGGAAGGTGATGTTAGCCCCTATTCAGACAGACGTCCGTGCATGGTGGGAAACCTCCCCCAGAGTGACGTTGTAAGTCTGTGCTTCCTATTTGTCTTCCCACCCTAAGTATTCAGTGGGCCAGGGTGTCCAGGCTTGCCAAGACGTGTGAATTCAGTTTGGTTCTGCATGTGTGTTCCTGGCCTTGTCTGCAGGTTCCATGATCAACAGAGCCCCTGCCTTTTGTGATTGCGGTGGGGGTGGGGAGGGAGTGTCATTAGAGTGAGCAGGAGTCACTTGTTAAATATGGAAAGGGAGGTTGCTTAGCTCCCAGATTTCCATGGCAACCCCCAGAACAAGTACAATATCACCAAAATTATTCTCTGGCTTTCTTTTTTTAGTTGCAGTGATTTGGTTGCATAGTCCTGTTTTTCCGCTCCTGATTTGTACAAAAAAACACAGACTCTGCCCACTATAACCATCACTTTGGTTTCAAGGACATCAGCAGTGTCTGTCCGAAGCACCTGAAAATTCAGTCACACAGAACTGCCCCTTTGCTATGCTAGCAGAATATGCTTTGACGGCTTATTGTCACCTTATATTTATTATTTGCCGTGTTCCCATGCGTGGGCCAGGTGCTAGGAGCATGTGACTGATGCTGACCTCACAGGCCACTGTAATAGACGCTTGACGTGTCCTTTATGGTCATACATGCCCCTGTCCTCCGTAGTTTGCATTTATAAAGCCCCAAGACCACATCTCGTTTATCACTCTTCCTAGAACATGTGTTCATAAAAACATCCAGCGCTTACCCACACATGTTTACAGTTGTTTGGGGACTTATTTTATCATTTCCTTGCTCCAAGCCCCTGTCTGTGACTGAAATGAAGTGAGATTCTTGTTGACAAACGTGTTTGAAGAAAGCAAACGTCCCCATGGACTTGAAGCAGTTGAGGCATACTCCTGAGTTGTGGGCATTCTTTTGCTTTTGGTCATTTAAATGGTTCTCTCTGATCCTGTTGATTTGACTCATAACTGTTGTTGTTTTCCTTTTTCAGTCTCCTAGCCTGTAATTTCCTTTCCTTCAGCAATCTAATTGTTATCAGTCCTTCTTAGACCTTTTGATGACGATGCCGGAACTGGCTTGAATCATCAGTGTCTCGAATGGGTCCAGCTCTGATATGTGAACAATTTGGTTAATTTAATTTTAAAAAACTGTGCTTTAGGCTGCCTGTTCTCATTATGTTTTTCTGTTAGGGCAAGTACTCATATGCCCACCTCACAAAGTTCCCCCTGCTTGGAGTGACATTATTGAATCATGTTCTCTTTATTTTTTAATTCATGCCAAATGCTTTCCAATTTGCCTTGGTATGGTTTGTTATATAACCACTAAAATATTTGATTGGCTGTTGATTTTACTCTCCACCTCTTCTCTGGCCTAACTTTCACTGTCCTGCTCATCCTTTGTGAAACACCTGTCAATTTTTCAGCTCAGAAGTCTGCCTGTACCTCAAAGCTCTCAGTCTCTCTGTTTGAAGTCTCATGTCCAATACACCATAGTGGTCTTACAGTCACAGAGTGCTAGGTTTCCGGATTTCTTTACCATGGGGTCCATTGAGGCATACTGGCAAAGAGTCTGACTTCTCATATGCATATTTGGCTCTCTTGCCCACAACACTATGAAGTTTTAGTATTAAATTTATTGTGTGTTTCCTTGTTGAACAAAGGACTCCTTTCCTTGATGTTTTGCTTTTGTTGTCATTTTGTTATAGGTTATGCCATACATGTAAGGCCTGAGATATCTAAATGTAAGTCAAAATAGAGTGTCAAAAAGGATTTATTTTCTAAAAAAGAATTCTGATCTTCCCTGAATGAATTGCTGGAAATCCTTGATTTCACTTTGAGGGTAGCAACTCATTTAATTGTTTTGGCTTTCTAGTCCAGGCAGGGTCAGGCTCTCACTGTCCAGCCCTGTCTTCGTTCCTATGTGGGTTCATTTCAGACAGATGTCAGTTTCCCTATGTAGCAGTCTTCTTGCTTCCTTCATGGAGAAAGCCAAACATTTTACCCAAGTCCCATTTGTAGAATGAGATTCTTATATGAGTGTTAAGATACTGATAAAATGTTTTATAAAGCGAAGCATCTTCTTTTTTAAAATAACTTACTGCCAAGTTAGCTACCATACAGTGTATATTGTGTGCTCTTGGTTTTGCAGGTAGATTCCTGTGATTCATCACTTACATCCTGGGTGTTACAAAGCATCTTTTTCTAATATTTTTTCAGTTGTGATTTCAAAGTTTTATCTGACCAGTGTTTAATCGTAGGTTACTTGCAGCCTATCAAGGAAGGTAGACATGCAAACAAATAAATAAGTGCAAGTGAACAAATTCTCTAATTCTCATCTGACTAAAATACCTGGGAATTAGCGTAGGGGTTCGCTGTCTGGTAGTGTGTTTGGTACTCAGTAAGTACTTAAAAAACATTAATTGAATAGATGAAAATTGAAGAAGATTCTATCTCAGATACTCTCTTTTTAGAATGGATAGTAAGAAGGAAAAAAAGTCCCAATAGTATTTTAGAAAAACTAATGTATTTTTAGCAAGGCGTTGTTTTTAATTTATAGAATCACAGCCCTCTATGGGCAACTAAATATTATCACAGTAGAGCTATGAACTATGGTTATACTCTTCTGCTTCCTGTGAATTCAGAGAATTACGTCATGCAAATTTGTCCTCAAACTAGAGTTAATAAAACTCTTCATCTCTCCTTCCCTGTGAAGCAGAAATTGACTGCGTTGAGCCCTAGAGAGGTGTCATCGCTATGCCCTTTTCTATATGTTAGTCTTGAGCTTCTCACAGTCTTTGAGAAATCTCTATAAGAGTATTTTGGGCAAAGGAAAGTTTCACTTAGCTGATTCATACTGACAAGTGGCATATCTTTTTTCTCAGTGATCCCCTATTTGTAATTTTAGAGTTGTTTTTCTTCCTGATAGCAAGTTCCCATTTAAAGGCCCTAGTAGTTTTCCTACATCTTGGCTCATTGTAACTCTTTCAGTTTCTCTTTCTTTGTTGTTGTTTTTGTTTGGAATTTAAACTCTTGAAATATGAATAGTTCTAAATCTCAGGAATCAAGTTAATAATCTCTTTTTTTTTTTTTTTTTCAAAATGTACTTCAGTTCAGAAATGTCCCAGTAGCCTCATGGGATTTTTGACTCTTCTATAGGGTTTTGTGGTTTTTGATTCTTCTGTAGGTTTTTGTGAGGGCTTTTTTTAAGTTTATGTATTCATTTTGACACAGAGAGAGTATGAGCAGGAGAGAGGCAGAGGGAGAGCATCCCAAGCAGGCTCCGTCCTCTTAGCACAGAGCCCAATGTGCGACTTGATCTCGCAAACCATGAGATCATGACCTGAGCCGAAATCAGGAGTCAGTTACTTAACCGTCTGAGCCACCAAGGCAACCCTCTTCTATAGGGCTTTAAACATGGCATTGAGAGTTTGCTAAGATACTAGGGACTTTGGGTATGTGTGCGTGTGTGTGTGTTTGTTTATTAAATGTGAAAATTAATATCTCCTAAGCATAATATATTTTTATGCATGTGACTAGTGCAGATGGAAAAATATTTTTTATCACATCATTCCCTTGATTGCCTAAAGAGACCTGAGTTCCAATGTCAACCTCTAAATTACCATGTCACTGAGTCTAGTCTGTCTTCTTTGGGATATGGTATACCTCTGGATCATTTCAAAGGTCCAGTGTGCATTAACCCAGATACTATTTCTTGATAAGTGAATTGATTGCCTGCAACATCAGCTGATTTCATTATGGTGTATCTGTATTAAATGTGGGACAAGAATGACCTTCTAAGTCTCTAATATTTTACTACAGCAGTGGTGCCCATACCGTTTAGCTAAATCATCCCCCAAATGTTTTCTTCATCACACGGTTCCAAGTTTTTAAGGATGAGAAGAAAAAGTTATTTTCTTTGAACATTGCTCTGAAGTTTACAAAATGCATTCTTGCATATGATCCCACTTGATCCTCAAGAACTTCTCAAGCTGTGCAAAGCATCTGTCACTCTCCCCATTTGATAGATGCATTAACCACAAAACAGAGTGAAAATTGCCTGATGCTGCCCAACCAGTCAGGTGTGGAGTCTTGAAGAGAACTCTGGTTCCTTCTCTACCAGCTTAGTAATAGTCTCTAAGCCCTAATATGACTGAGTGCACTGTGTACTTGGTGTTTTTATATGCAGACTACTCTGTAGTCCTTATAGATCTGTTAATCAGAGAACTAACTTAAAGCTAGACATCAAATACATGGGGCTGGGAGCAACTCAGAAAGGTTTGTCTTGGTCGTGGTCAGGAATTTAGACTGCAGAGTCATAAAGAAGTTGATGGCCAAGGAGTAGATACTTTATAGTGAGGCACTGTAGAATTGGAGACAGGACACAGCCCCAGCAATTAAGTCCATATTGGGGACAAGAGTTTTAGAATAAAAGGTGAATGGCACAAAAACCAAGGGGATCTGTTTGTATGCAAGGGGCTGTGAGGACTGCTCTGTGTTTTGCCCATCTACCAGTCAAAAGAAGATGCACAACTTCTGGTACAGTGGTAGGGCCACAGGGAAAATGGCTGGTCCGTTTTGTCAGGCCAGGGGAGGGGGGGGATTTGCTCCCAAGTTGCAAGTTACCTGTTCTCTTCTTTGCTTTCCTCTTCCTTTTCTACCTGTAATTCTTACCCTTTCCTGTGTCTTTTTCTTAGCTTTGTTGAGATCTCAATCCATTCCCATTGTTGGTAAGTTTCTGTATGTATGTAGAAACAAACTATTCCTATGAAATAATAGTAATATGGGGCTGTGGCCTTGTTTTTCCGCAGAGGAACAAAGAAACAGCATCATCAACTCCAGTCTGGAATCTGTTGTCTCATCAAATGCCAACAGCATCCTTAATTCCAGCAGCAGCTTACAGCCCAACATGAACTCCAGTGACCTGGAACACGATATGCTCAAACCCACCCGGCCCAACTCACTGTAAGTATGGTGTCTGGCTGCCTGCCACACAGTAGGCCCTTGCTGAGCCCTTCCACCCAGAATTGGCTCTCTGGCCCCATCTGACTTTGAGCATTGTCCCATGAACATGATTTTAACCTTCTTCCTAAATGTGGAGCTTGGCTAGTTTGTTGTGGACTTTTTAAGCATCATCATCTCAGAGGGGAATCATTATTCTTGACATACTGCTTCTTGGCCTTGGTGATCTTTGATTTACCATCCTGCTGAGATGGCTTTGGTGATGGCTGCTGACTATGCTGGCTGCTGGGCATGGAAACCGATTCCTTTGAGTTTTACAAAGCATCCAGGAACTGTAGTAACTCAGCAGAAGCAAGTCTGCTTCACCCATATATGTTGTCTTGATTTCCCTTCTCCCTGATGATGTGGAGTATGTCCTTTGCTACCTCTGTGTCTCCTTCTAGAAAAAGAGCCCTCCACCCCCAGTGGCCCTTGGAGTCTCCAGACCCTCAGACCATAGCATGACTGTGATCACATACCAGAGACTAGAAAAGAGAGGAATGTTTGTTACGGGTGGTAAGCACCCAAAGCTGGGAATAGGCCATTTGGGGGCTGCTTGTCCATTCCTCCCCAGGAAAGCAGATCTATGGTGCGAGGGCCAGAAAGTTCTCCCTTGCGGTTTCCTCCCACATTGCTTAGCATGCTTCTTCAGACCAACGCATAAATCTTGTCAACTGGAGCCTTTGCAGAAAGTATGTGAGGCCATGACCAGAGCAGCTAGACTGTCAGGCTGCAGTTGTATAAGACTCGGAAAAACAGAGCTGACCTTGCCTTTCTCTAGTGAAAATAGTCAGACATTCAGCCACAGATTGCCTTCAGGGCAACTGTTGCACTTGGTGAGGCAATGGGACGTCGGAACCTTCTCCTGCCCCTCTCTGTGCCTTGGTTGCAGGGTCACACCCTGCCATTCTATTGTCTTTAAGATATTCACAGTTTACAGATTGGCAAAATGGGCGCAACATTTTTTGCCTAAGAGGCTCAGGAATATTAAGGCATGAGGGGCAGGGGAAAGGACTCTAAAATGGAGTTAAGGGGTACATACATTGCAGATGAAACAGTAGCATAAGATGAAATCATATACTGGGAATATATGATCTGTTTTCAGTGGTTGGCAGCTTTAAATCCCACCTTGATGTTCAGGAAATTGAATTACTTACCTGTTACCTGGTGGGTAATATATTTACTCGCCAAGAAGTATACCATTGCCTCAAGAGCTCACAGTAATTTAACTCATGCAGTTTACGGGCAGCGAGTCTCTTCTGCTTCTCCACACTTGCCTGTGGGCACTCCATCTCTTGCTGTCTGGCCTTGTCAAGCAATGCTATATCTGCTTTCCTAGACTTGAAGGACATTATGGTTTCTCTTCTCTTCTCTTCTCTTCTCTTCTCTTCTCTTCTCTTCTCTTCTTTCTCTTTCTCTCCCTCCCTCCCTCCCTCCCTCTCTCTCTCTCTCTCTCTCTCTTCCCCCCCCCCCCATTTTGTCTAAACCTCTGTACCTGTCAGTTCCTGATGTTATTTGTTGCTCAGTATGAGCAAGGTTGAATTTCTAGGCCAGGTTGATTACTGTCCCCTGATTTTACCTGGCAGTACCAATTAGTGGTCTTTAATCTTCATTTTTAGTATCCAGGAGCTGGAAGCCCCTTGAGTCACCACTGAGTACAGTATGTCTAAAGGGATGACTTTGGCACCTAAGGGATAAATGGGACAGTGGAGCAGGAAACTTTGTATTTGTATTCTTCAGTTGTCTAGTTCAGTGACTGGGGGTCACTCTGCCTGCTTCACACCATCCGTGGGGACCGTTCCCTGCCTGCTGCAGAATTTGGGGGCTTTCCCAGGGAAGGAAGGGTGATGCCAGGAATAGCTGGACTTTGTTTGACTTTCAAGGAAAGTTGGATGTAGGAGTGTGGATGTTTCTGACACAACTGCTATCCTTCTAGGCTTCTAGTGAATACCTTACTGATACCAGTAGGTCTTGAGCTCGAGGCAGTTCCTGAAGTGGAAGCAATGTTGATACGGGCACCGACACCAGAGTTTACCACGGCCCTGAATGAGGGCCTCACGAAAGGCCCTGTAAGCTCTACATCAAGTTCACCGACCATTTCTGAAATCTGAGGCAGTGAGATGCCATTTTCAAGTCTGTGCCTCCCTCATTTTTTCTTTCTGTGATTTGCTTGGGTGGATGGACCATGGACAGGAACGAGGTGATCCTGGCAACAGAAGCCACAGTAGTTTCCCTGAGAAGGCTAATCCTTAGAAGTCTGTCAGCAGGGTATGTCTGGATAACGGGGCTTAGTCGCAACCAATGGAGACGCCTGAGGAATGAAAGCATCCATTTTCTCCATCATTGCCCCCTTTAAAGTGCACAGAGATCCTTGAATGGGAACATTTAATGATGCAGATGAAAACACAAAACAAAGGGGGTGGGGGATTACCATTAGTTTGAATATTAATTAGGCATAAAGTGGGGAACCCGTCACCAGAAACTGTCTGTTCTCCTTTTTATTTCGTTCATTTGCTTTTCATTGTTTTCATAATGACTGGAACGGTCATTATGACCGTGTAATAGTCATAATGAAAGGAACATGCTTTGTGACTCAGCAGCCTTTGGTACTTTAGGGAGCACATTTTGCTGTCTCACTGGTAAATCTTTCCTAATTCTCCAAGGAGACCAGGGCCCTCTTGTTTGTGTGGGCATAAAGCTAAATCAGGCATCAAAATTAGAGATGCACCATTCGAGCCATGCCAGGGCAAGGCCGCGGTGTTTACATCCTCAGCAAGTCCTCAGCCAGACCTCCTAAAGGGTAGCCATCTCTCCTGAAGATCAGAGGACATGTGGTAAGTCAGGACCAAAGTCCAGCTAGTCTAAAATTGGCAGCAACTATTACTGACCTACTGTGTGGCCAGAACTATGCTAAGCTACCAGGGGTAAATGAGAAAAAGGATTCCTGGCCTCCCCAAGAATTTAGTCAGGCTCAGGAGGAAGGACAGTGGTATATGGCAGTGCTAAATAGGATTTCTAGCTCTTAAGTGCTTTTCAAGTTCACCAACTTTTTCTTTCACATTTATTTATTTTTGAGAGACAGGGAAAGACAGAGTACGAGCAGGGGAGGGGCAGAGAAAAAGAGAGACACAGAATTCAAAGTAAGCTCTAGGCTCTGACAATTAGGCACAGAGCCTGATGCCACAGAGCTTGAACCCATGAACCGTATGATCATGACCTGAGCCAAAGTTAGACGCTTAACTGACTGAGCTACCCAGGTGCTCCCAGAGTTCACCAACTTTTAACTGATTATGTTGAGTACATGTGCCAGTGAGAATACTGGAGAAGGTGGCTAGGTGAAATGTGAGGTTGGCATTAGCTAAGATTACATAGATCAAAATGGATGTATGAAGACATTGCAGATAAGGGGGATGGGAGAGGCAAAGATGATCCATGATGGATAAAAGCAGCCTACAGACATGTGTATTGGTAGAAAGGGAGCTTCCTTTCTCCCCTACCACTGCCACCAAACAACAAAGCAAAAACAAAAACAACACCTACTAAGCCAACATTTATTTATTTGTTTATTATTTTTTAAATTTATTTTGTTTACTTAAGCAATCTCTATACCCGCCATGGGCTTGAACTCATGACCCTGAGATCAAACCAACATTTCATGCTGAAACAACTAGACATCCACATGCAAGGTAGCTAGATAGACAGATAGGGATACAGACTTGATATCTTTCAAAATATTAACTCAAAATGGATCATAGACCGAAATGTAAAACGCAAAACTGTGAAATTTCTAGAAGATGGCATAAGAGAACATCTAGATGACCTTGGGTTTGGCAATGACTAGGTTCGTGATCCATGAAAGAAAAAAATAGCAAATTGGACTTGATTTAGGTTAAAAACCTATGTCCTACGAAAGATACTATAAAGAGAAAGAAAAGCCAAGCCCAGAATAGGAGAAAATATGTGCAAAACAATATCTGATAGAGGATCGGTGTCCAAAATATATGAAGAACCCTAAAAGTTCAATAATAAATAAACAGCCCAGTTAAAAGCTGGGCAAAAGATCTGGACAGGCACCTCACTGAGGAAGACAGGTAGATACAAATAAGCATATGAAAAGACACTCAACATCTTAGGTCATTAGGGAATAGCAAATTAAAACGGTGAGATCTCTCTGAATATCCATTAGAATGCCTAAAATCTAAAACAGTGACAGCACCAAAAGCTATAAGGATGTGGAGCAACAGGAACTCTCATGCATTGCTAGTGGGAATGCAAAAGGAGACACCCCCTTTGAAAGACAATTTGTCAGTTTCTTAGAAAGCTAAACATAGATTTCTCATCCAGCACAGTCCAGCAATCACACTCTTCAGTGTTGACTCAAATGAGTTGAAAACTGAAGTTCACACAAAAACTTGCCCATGAGTATTTATAGCAGCTTCATTCATAATTGCCAAAGCTTCGAAACAACCAGGATGTTCTTCAGTAGGTGAATGGATAAACCAACTATGGTCCATCCGGACAATGGAATATAATTCAGTGATAAAAAGAAGTGAGCTATGAAGTCAAGAAAGAAGCCACTCTGAAAATACTACAAAATGGTATGATACCAAATATCTGACATTGTGAAAAAGACAAACCCGTAGAGTCAGTAAAGAGATGAGTGGGCAGGAGGGAGGAGTAGGTGGAACGCAGGGCATTTGTAGTGACGCCATTGTCTATGGCACTGTAACCGTAGGTATCAGACAAAATGCATCTGTCAAAACCCATAAAACCAGTGGCTTACAGAGTGAACCATAATATCAGCCATGGACTGGAGTTACTAATACTGTATCAGATTGGTTTTTCAGTTGCAACAAATGTACCTCACAAATGAGAGATGTTAATTACGGGGGAATTCAGGCAGTGGGGTTACATGGAAACTTTGAGTTATTTTGAGCAATTTTTCTGGAAATGGAAAATTGCTG